CTCACGGCGCTTCGCGCTTGGTGATGTGAGAGCCTGGTCCGGTGAGAACCCGGCGTGCTCCGTCCCGGCTTTGTAGGGATGCGAGGTCAATGGTCTAACGACTACGGCATGCACGACTATGAGTATGAGTACACCCGTACTCGGTGCGGTTGTGGTTGTGCCCGAAGCACCCGAGATTTTTGTCGGTCGCTCTTTGTTGGTCACAGCAGCAGAGGTCCCTTGTATTTTGCCGCGCCGTGCTAGGGGAGTCGGCCAGGCTTGAACCGGGCACCCGGGCACTACTGTTCGGAGTATGAGACGACTTTGGATGCTTTCCCACGGGGTGAGCGTTTGTGCCCTCCGTGGCGATTCCCGCTGGGCGGTGGGACCGGTAAAGGCGACAGGAGACAACACACTCCCTGGACCGATGTTTGAAGCTCGATTGCTCCGCAGCAGAAACAACCGCGGTGGTGAAAACGGCGGCGTTGGAACCGTTTCGTCGAGAGCTTTCCGAAACGCATCGTTTCATTTTGTGCACACCCCTTGTCGTCGTAGGGCAATCGAGCTGTGAAAATCGATCCGAGGGTGTGGTATATTACGTCATGTGACCTATGGTAACATGAAATGCGGGGTGGGGGGGGTCGGCGGCCAAGGTACGTGAAGGTGTTTGTCTCTCGCGATGACAGGATGATGCTTCCGCTGCTTTCATGCTTGTTATTCCCGCTGCCAATGTCCCGTACATATCCCTTCACCCACCGCATTTTTTGCTTTTTTGTTTTTTTCTCGTCCCGGAGCAGCCGCCTGCTCCTCATGGAGTGCGCCCCCGGCCGTTGCCCTACCTTGCGGGGGGCAAGCAAGCACTGCAATAACAACGCCTTACAGACCAAGACGTTCCCCGCGACGGAGGTGCGTACGAGTTGCTATTTTTTTTATTCATGTGTGTGTGTTTTTTGGGCATTGCATCGCTGGATGACTGGCCGGATGGCTGGGCCGACCGGGGTTGGTGTTTTCGCACGCCCGTGCCGCCTGCAGGAAGCGAGCCGTCATCATGACCTCTAGGGGCTTGTCACTCGTGTATTTGCACGCCTTTAAGAGCGTGGTAGCCCTCAGGGCGGGGAATTCGATCTCCGTTGCCGACTTTTTCCCCGATTTTTCGCGCGTGGACAGCTGCGCCGGACGTTTTTGCCGATCAAGCTGCGTAGCCTGTTTCATCCTTCCATCCCGTTCTGCTCGATTTTTGTTCTGTCGTGTTGTGTCCCCCCCCCCCTTTCTCTGCCGCGTCCGTCGACCGTGGCAGGTTTTCCGGACCTTCGAGGGCAGAGGTTGGGGCCTTAGGCTGGCGGAAGAGAGGGGAGCTAAGGCCGGCACGCTGCTGCACGAGTACCTGGGAGAGGTGAAGGAATAATTGAAAGAAAGAAAAGATTCCCGCGGTGATGCATGTACGACGTGGATGTTCATATGGTACGAGGGGTCGCAAGGTCTGTCCCGCGATGACGTAACGTGTGGATGTTTCTTGCGGTACGAGGGGTTGCGATGTCGATCCTGTCATGATGTTCCATGCGGATGTTTATACGGGATGTTTGTGCGGTACGATGGGGTCGCGAGGTCTACCAGTCGTGGCTCGCCGCATCTCGTGATATGGTATTCACCGCGGCTTGAAACGTACCAGCGCATTGCATGCTTGCAGCATGGTGGCGTGCAGCGTAGCATGAGTGGGACTCATGATGCATGCCCCCGTATGTGATGGTGCAGCATACATACACTGCACTGCTTTGGAACGTTGTCTGCGTTGGGCGAGAGGGTGACAGCATGGACGAACAGTTGGAGCGGTGTCTACGCTTGCCCTGGCTGTGGCACGAGCTTCCCGGATGCGGGGCATGCATGAGAGAAGGGACACCAGCGCCCCTGCAGTGATACGAACAGCATGATTCACACATGAAGTTTTTTTTGCAAAATTCAGCGAGCACCTGGAGGCAATCTTACCCGTCTGCTTTACATCTGCATTACTCAAGGACGGTACCTTGCCAACAGGAAGCATGGGCCTTGGGCACACCGATTGGAACTCCCTGAGAGTTTATTGTCCGATTGATTCTCCGCCCTATTCTGTTTCCAACCAATCGCAAAAAAAAAAGGTGATCACGATGGACGAGTGCCGCAGACGCCTCCGCAGGGTGGGACGCAAGGGCGTCGAGGGTTCGAGCGACGACTTCTACTTCGCCTCCCTGGACGGAAACCTCGTGCTCGATGGTGGTGAGGGAAGCGGCAGCCGCTATTGGTCGTGTCGACAGAGAAAAAAAAATGGAGCGGGAAGCGCGTTACTTTGAGACGGAACAAAAAGGAAAGGACAGCCGAGCTTTTCCCGATTAGTATGCTCACGTACGCCACTCACGTCTCATTTGTGTGCTTGCTCTCCAGATTTGCGTACATGCTGTCTTTCATTCGGATACAATTTTTTTTCCGGCGAGTTGGATACAAAACGTTGTCAAGAACTGTGAGTGTAGTCCATTCAGAAAACTCTGCGTACAGTAGTCCCTAAGAATATGTTCCATCTCAGAGAGGGGCAGGGAAACGTTCAAGGGTCAGTCACACTTATACACGCAGGAGTGTACCCCATATCGACAGCGAGATCGTTCTGCGGTATGTAGCACGACTCTTTACTCGGAAATCCTGTTTTCCCAGATTGTTTCCGGACAAGCAAAGGATTTTTCCTGCTCGCCCTCCGTGGGCGTGGCGTCGTGACTCCCTCTTCCCGTGCCTTGGATGGGCTTTTCCACGATTTCCCGCAGAATCCGCAGAAACCTTCGCGACATTTTTTTCACTCGATTTTATTTTCCCTGCAATTATGTATCCGTGTGCAGTTTCACACCCACGCGTTCAACCCCGCGCCATATTTTCGCCCTGTTTTCGCCTCGTCCTCCACTGCTTGGCGAGGAGTACTCGCACGAGAGTTTGCCTGCCACCGTTGGTTGCCCGGCTTCTCTTCTTGACCCTTTGCGCTCCGGGCTGCGTCCCGTAAACTGCTGTGCCACCGTCCGCCTGTGGGGACGCGCGCTGACCGACCCATGTGGTTGGTTGGCTACACTCGACTGCGTTTTTTTGTGCAGGCCCCATGGGCAGCGAGGCACGTTTCGCGAACCACAGCTGCTCCCCGAACTGCCTGATGCAGAAGTGGAGCGTGCTGGGCGAGACCCGGGTGGTGCTTGTTGCCGCTCGTGACATCTCGGTCGGCGAGGTAGGAAAATGGGAATTGCGAACTCTTTTTTTTTCGATCCCCCCTTTTTGTTTCCTCAGCGACTTTGGTGTTTTCTTTTTTGGATTAAAACCCCTGAATGCATCGATACTTTTCGTTCACGTAGTCATCACTGGCTCTTGGATGGGACGTGGGAACCGCTTGATGAAGGTCGGCTTGGTATCATGCCGTGCTCTTTTGGAGGGTGAATTGCACACAAAAAGAGACATCGCCACTCGCGAAAGGGGTGCCATGCTGCCATGTTGGTTCGTTTTTCTTCGTTTGTTGTTGCGCGCGCACGCGGTCGGCGAGACAGTTGTGCTCGTGCTCGGTTGGCGACCGTTTGTTGCCGACTAACTTTGCTCGTTGGTCCGCCCCGTCTCATGCTGTTTGTTGTTCGTGCTGCTGATGCTGCTGTTGCTGTTGCTGCTCCTGGTGCTGCTGCTGGTGCTGCTGCAGGAGCTGACGTACAACTACCAAGCGGACACACTGGAGGGCTTCGTGGAGAGACAAAAGTGCCTGTGCGGAGAGCCCCAGTGCTCCGGGTTCATCGGAGGCGAGGTGAGGACGAGGAAAACGACCGACCTCCCAAGCCTCTCCCACGAGAGAAAACAAACCGACCGTGCGTCCTCAATACTTTCGGTTCCCCGGCAAGAAGAAGCAGCATATGCTCGACGAGTTCTCTTGCCAACAGAAACTGTAAATGCCGACAGAATGATGATCATTCGGGGGCATGTTTTTGCAATTCGCCCGCCTCGGTAAGACGAAACCTCTACCCAACAGGATGTTCAATTATGCGCAAATATATTTCGTACCGATGCGTCAGCTTTCCTTCGATGAGACCTCTTTTGTACCGACAGAAACTTCTTTTCCTAAGAAACGATGTTGGCAATGCACCATCTTACCCTACGCGCGCGCGCGCGCGCGTGTGTGTGTGTGTGTGTGTGTTTTGCTGTGCCGTGAAGCTGGTGGCTGTCAAGGCAGAGGAGTGGCAGCGGCGCGCCTCGAAGGTCATGAACCAGGCGAAGCCGCAGCTTGAGGTCGTCAGGGAGCTCTTCCACGAAGGGCGGGAGTTGGGGTACGAGCTATCAGGTGAGGTCTCGCCCTGCGCGATGTTGTGCTGCTGCTGCTGCTGCTGCTGCTGCTGCTGCTGCTGCTGCTGCGGCTGCGGCTGCGGCTGCGGCTGGTGACTGTCGCCGGTGCCGGCTGGGTCGCTGTTGCTTGTTGCAACATGTTGCTGTGTCTGGCTTTTTACGCGACCAGAACAGATGCTTGTTTCGTGCCCTCGCGCGCAAGGGGGGTTGAAGAACCCCTCCCCCCTGTCGCCTGTTGTAGTACGTACCCTATAAGAACGCGTTTGCCGGCACGTTTCCGCCGCGGTGGCGCTGACCTGCTCGAGTACCTTTACGTGCGTTGTGTCCTTTTGTTGCAGACAAGGGCGGGGGCGAAGGTGAGGCAGGGGACGGCGGCGGTGCAAACAGCAGCAGCGCAGCAGGATCAGGGCCAACGCATTACAAAGGCCGCGAGATGGAGTGCCTGTCGATAATGCTCAGGGAGGGAGACGAGTGGCTCGAGGAGCTCGCCCGCGTCATGGAAGGAACCACCATCGCCGCCGCCGCCGCCGCCGCCGCCGCCGCCTCCTCCCGGAAGTACGGGACAGGTGCCGTCGGCGTCGAGGAGACCGCCGTACAGCCTCCGCCCGCCGCCGGCGAACTCCCACGACGCAGAGCCTCCACGCGCGCTGGTCGCGGCGAAAGAAAGCCAAGAGATGCCTACGACGACGACGGCGGCGGCGGTGGTGGCAAGGTGAGAGAGAGAGGCGGGGACGGGGCTGTTTAGGGCGTGGTGGCGTGTAACCGGTTTGCAGCCCGGCGTTTTGAAGCCCAGCGGTTCGCGTGTGTGTTTTTTTTGTTGTTAGCATCGACCGCGCTAACCGGCTGACCAATGGAAAGACGTCAGCCTCAGTGCGGTTGAAAACACAAAAAAAAAACTTCAAAATGCCATTAACTGGGACGTGAGGAGGCGGCATGGGGGAGGCTAAGCTATTCGTGTGTTTTGTGTGTGTGTGTGTGTTCATTGGGTTCTTTTGCCTTTTTCCAAGAGTTGGTATGAAGCGTATCCCCCGCACGCACTGTCTCTGTTTGTATCGAGGCGGGACTATCATGGTCGTGCTTTCCTCTGTACGGGACGTTGTGACGCCTTGGGGTAGTGTGCCTCAAGACAAGTTCTAGGCAAACCAGCCGTTGTGCTGCACCGCGCTTCAGCTGCACCTTACGAAGAACCCCTTGCTGTTGTTTTTTTGTTATTCCTGGTGCGCGCTCTTTGCCGATGATACAGAAACGCGAGTGCTGAAAACTTGGTGCCACACCTCGAGAAAACGCCCAACAAGGCCCTCACATCGAAAAACGTGCCATGTAGAATTGACCCAAAACAACACATTGCCCTCGACTACTGCTGTGGTTGTATCTCGAACGGGTGGTCTCTCTGTGGCTGTACGTATACTGCTGTTTCGCGCTGCAGGTTGGGGAAGGAGAGGAAAGCAACCCGGACGCTCCTCGCGTGGTCGATCTCGTACAGCTCGAGAAGGTAGTGCAGGCGTCGCCGACGGGGCTGCAGATTCCCGAGGCCGTTAAGGCCAAGAAGACCCTGGCAAGGTGATGGATTGCGTCATGGCGTGATGACGCCATGGTGTGATGACCGATGACGAGCTCGTGGTGGTGCTTGGGGGGAGGAGCGGCGGTGCTGCTGGTTTTTGGGGAGTTTTGGTGCAAGCTCTCAGGAACACCTTTTGTTGGCGCCTGTGCTGTTGCCCCGGTCGATTTCTCTCAGCGATTGCGTGGCGGGTTGCGCGGTTTGGCCACGGGTGGTGCACTCGTGCCCGTACACCTTGGGAGAAGAAACGAGTAGTAGCATGGTTAGGGTGTTTTTTTGTTTTGGGTCTGCTATCAGCAAACCTTGAAGTCCCGCTGGAGGTAGCGGAGAGCGGCACGGAAGTGCTAGGTGGCGAGCGAGTTCCCGTTTTATCGTTTTCGCGTTGGGTTTTGGTTCGAAAAAGGTAGAGGACTTTTGCGGGATGTGGAGGTAGATCCTCATATGGCCCCAGCGGCAGGTAATGGTTCGACGTGCATTGCGCACCGCACTGAAGCGAGAACGGTCGTCGGTGGACGAAAGCACGGCGTTTGCACCCACGACCAACTAGCCGGCGTCACCCCCGACCATCCATCTAATGCTGTGGAGAACGCTCCACAGGTGCATTTTGTAACGCTCGTGTCCCGTGTTTTCCCCCCGCGGCCTGCCTCAGGGCGAGTCACGTGGCGCAGACGGTGTGGACCCTGCTAGACGCCGCGTCCAAGAACGGCCTGAAGAGCATCAGGGTGCCGGAAGAACGGCAGCCGCCGCCGCCGTCGCCGCCGCCACTGCCGCAGCCGCAACCGCCTCAGCTGGCGACGAGCAACCCCGCCTCCGGCGGCGCTTGTCCAAGCGTGCCGGCGGCGGCGTCCTCCTCCTCAAAAGCCGCTATTGTCGGCCGTTTGGACGAGAAAGATAAGGGTCGTCGGGGGGGGCGAGGGGCGGAAAGAGGAGGTCGGGGGAGGCGGGGGCGGTACGGAAGCGAGGGTGACCATGACGCCATGATGCCGGAGATCGGTGGTGGTGGTAGCGGCATCACCGGCGCCGCCGCTCCTGCTGGTGCCAAGAGCAACGACGATGCTACGATGGAGGTTCGCGGTGATGGCAGTACCGCTGACGGCAGCAGCAGCAGCAGCAGCAGCAGAAGCAGCGATGAGCCCAACGGCGGCGACGGTGGCCAGCAGCTGGTGCCGCTAGAAGGGCGATGCGGGTCGCGGGACGATGAAGCAGAACCGGCGGCCGACGCTGGTACACCCGGCGGGGGGACCGACGACTCACCCGTGGTGGCCACCGGAGCTTGTAGCGGCAGCGGTGGCGGTGGCTCTAGCCCTGACTGCGGCGAAGTGCTCGCCGCCACAGTAGCTGCCACCGCCGCCGATTGGCGGGCGGACGGCGACAACAACGGCAACCTAGAGCAAGGCGCGGATAAGCCGGCGGCGGGGCTGTCTCCACGGGTAGCCGTTGCCACGAGGAGCGGTGGGAAGAGAAAGCCTTCGGCGGCGTTGTCCGTGGCCGGTGTCGCCTTAAGAAAACGGCTTGTTCCGCCGGCGGCAACGGCGACGACCTCTTCCATGGCGGACGGATCGCCCGCGCTGCCTCCGAAGCCGAAGATGAGTCAGGTGGGGACGATCGCGTACAGTACATACGGTGTCCTCCCACTTCCCAGGTCAACGCGGGCTTCATGCAGTTTTTCTCTCCTTGTCCCCGAGACGCGGCGGGGGGTATCCTGCAGCCTCGCTGGCTCCTGTGTTTTGGTGACCAGGCTGTCCGGTCACAAGAATTGTCCTTGATTGTATTGTGTGTTCGTGGCGCTAGGGATTGTGCGCCCTCATGAGTAGAAGCTCGCTCTTGGTCTGGGCATCACACGGATTGTGGAGACACGTCGGGTCGGTGAAACGGCTAAACAGAGCGGCTTTCACAGCAGTGAAAAGGCTTGGGGGTGAACGAAATTCCGAACGAACGTAGCTGCCTCCGTGCAATGTGGCACCGGAGAGAGGGGACCAAGCTCTCTCCCGCTGAACAGCCCCGCCCCACCCGCGCCCCCCCCTGGTGTTTGCCATCGGGGTTGGGTTTTCGTCGCTTGGCAACGACGTTGGAAAACAAGCCGCCCCCCCCCCCCGGTGTTTTCCATCGGGGTTGGGTTTTCGTCGCTTGGCAACGACGTTGGAAAACAAGCCGCCCCCCCCCCCCGGTGTTTTCCATCGGGGTTGGGTTTTCGTCGCTTGGCAAAGACGTTGTAAGACAAGCCCCCCCCTTGGTGTTTGCCATCGTGATTGGGTTGTCGTCGCTTGGCAACGACGTCATAAAACAAGCCAATTCACTTCATGAACTCGGCAACCAGGTTACCGTTTTTTTTTTTTTTCTCCGGTGTTATTTTTTGCCGGTAACCATAATGGTGGTCGAGTAGATCATGTTGTGCGGGGTGGAGAACCCTCACTCCGCGCAAGGGGGATGATCGCACCACGTTGTGTTAAAATGGTCAAGCACCCTCGAGGCAGCTACACAGTGCTAACAACTGTCTCTGGAAGTGAAGTACCAGAAAAAATTTTAGTCATACGCAGCTGTCATTGCCGTACGCAAGGAAGTAAGCACAAGATGCCGAA